TGGACGAGGGATTATTTGGGACCTGTACCGAAGACTTGGTGTTGACGACATTCCCATCTTCCCCTCTTCTTCGTCTGTGTATGGTTGGGGACTGGTGCATTCTTCCTGTGTGAGTGCCAGGCTCCTTCACACCATGGAATGATGATGATGTATGTTTGGTCTGCATTGCAACATTGATTGTTCGGATCATTGGTATATTAGCCTTCCGCTGCGCTATCTTGTACTATGTGAAGAGAGGCCGGTTCTTGTTCTGGTCTGCACCTTTACGGTATGCGACACAACTGATGCAATTTCCCATTGTCCAAGGATTGCTACAAATAAGTTGAAATAACTGAGCGCAAGCCGTTCRAACACCGTAGATGATCACACAGGCAAGATGAAGTAGAATCTTGAAAAGTTTAAACACCGGTCATTGTGGGGCTGTGAGGGCTTCCCAGATGCAAAAGCAGCAGGGTCGTGAGTGCAAGCCCGGCTGTGCAAATGTGGAAGGGCCCTACGTGAAGGCCCAGCCTGCAGAAAGTCGGGCCCGACCAATTTTGGAAAAGGCGGGGTCAAACCGGTTGGGCGACCTCGTCTGGGGACCGTCAGGTGGTTGGGATCACGGTAGGCCACACCCGCTTCAGTGCCCATCGTCCTTCCCAGATCGCGGATTTTCCTAGATGCTGCTATGCTTGAGAATCAGACACAAGCAGCAAGCATCTACGAGGACAGACAGCACCAGGCATAGGTGGGCTGGGCGGCTGAAGAAGAAGGTGGCATGTGGATGGGAGATTCTGGGAGGAGAAGGAAGGCTGTAAGAGATGGGGTATGGCAAGAGACATGCCTGGTGGTCACCAGGCATAGCCTCAGCATGCTACATTCTACGTTCAGGCATCTCTTGTCACAACATTGTACTCTGCTCTGCAGCATTATACATGGGCATAGTATGTGCTGGGTAGGTAGTGGATAGAGTAGGTGATCACATGCTAAGCTGGTAGTGATACAAAGGGAAAGCTGAGGATGCGTGTAAGACGAGAAGGAGAACTTGTGCCGCCGAGCCTGTGTGCTTGGTGGCTAACCCCCAGGAAGCGAAGTGAAAGGGATGGCATACTGGGTAAGGATGTATCTAAGAAAAGAAGGGGAGCTCGTGAGGCCAGGCTTCCTGCAACGAACGTTCTGTGCATGCTCGCCGGCCGAAGGCCCGGAACGGAGAGTGAAAGGGACGGCATACTGCACTGGTTTAGGATGCCAATAAGAAGAGAAAGCGAACCGGTGAGACCAGTAATTTCTATCTTTTTTGTACTGCATAAGGTAACACCTGTAATCAAAGTATGAACTCTTCCATGTGACAATATCATCTTCATTGGTGCAGACGGTTTGAACAAAAAGAAACTGAAAAGGAGAGAAAAACAAAGAGCACAACGGAAAGACTCCGGAAAGACTCTGGATACGACAAATCTGCAATTTAACTTGATGAAAATTACATGGATAATAAATAAAATAAAAAAACACACAAAAACACATGGTGATTGCTGTGCGCTCGCTGTGCTCTTCTGTAATTTATATATAAACTAAGACGGAAGTTCTGTGTGCGCTAACTGGGCTGAGTCCCGGAAAGCAATGTGAAAGGGATGACATACTGGATGACTCTAAGAACAGAAGGGTGAAAGCCATTTTCCTCTGTTTTTTTTTTCTCCAGAAAAGTCCGATAGGCCTGTGAAAATTTCACTCAAGCTTCTTTACTTGTGCTCAGCCCACAGTATTCTTTAGTAAAAGGTGAAAGAATAGTACGCCCATTGAGCTGGGCAGGCAGCATCCACATAACTTACTGTCGTCGGAAGTACACAGAGAACTTCCGGCGATGATAAGTTATCTGGACGTGCATGGAAAATGGCTGTGCTAAGGGAGGGTTCACTAGTCTATAGAGTCTATATATTCCAAAGATTGCAACAAATGACTGGAGTGATCCTGACACACCAGATAATCACACAGGCAAGAGGAATAGAAGTTCCCAACACGAGCAGTATGAAACGGTTGTCACCTTTGCAGAAGCAGATGCAGATCCCAGGGTTCGATCCCTAGACCCTACCTGCACCCGTGTACAGTATCGAGTAGACCCCTGTGTGTTTTGAACCCGCGACCTGTGTTTTAGTAGTGACTGTACCTTGCCATAGGTCCCTGTAGTTGTAGGGGTTCGATCTGTAGATCTGTCAAGTAGGGGTTACAGATGTGTAGAGGTCGAAACTGCTAGGCTAGAGGTCCGTAGGTAAGTCGTAGGTCCAGCTGCGTCGAGTAGGCAGTGCGACTGCATCGAGTCGGCAGTGCAACGCCATGCAGTCAGCGGTACTGGTCCAGTCAGTCGCAGTCCAGTCAAGCAAGTACCGTGTGGGACTGTGTGCACCGAGGGCCTGGAGGAAAGGGGCAGACCAGCAACCAACAGAAGTATAAATCAAGAGGCAGTGTCCAGCGATTCATTCATTCGCTGCGTAAGCCATGCGGAAGCGCAGTCTCAAGCGACTTGTGTGAGGTGGTCTGTAGAGCGCCTGAGGTCGAAGAGGGCTGGGAGAAGTTAGTGTGGCTATAGTTAGTAAAGAAGCGGCCATAGCCGCTGAAGATAGGGAGAGACACAAGAGTGTGTATGTGTGTGGGGTATTCAGGGTGATCCAGAGTTGAGTGTGTGCGAACAGTGGTGTTGGAGACAGTGTCGAGAGTTGGGTTGTACAGGCGCTGAAGCGCCATAGCCTGTTGAAGCAAGTTTGGGCCTGAACTGTGTTCTCGAGTTCCATATCTCTTGAGTTTAGAGTGGGCGCTGTGCGCCAGTTTGAATCGCCATCTGTTTGCATGCATGTGAAGCGAAGAAGAACGTGAGTCTGATTGCAAGTATTATTATATGAGAAAAAAATCAATGGTTTCAGTGCACCTTTCATGTTTGTCTTTTTTCTTTTTTTCTACACCATTTGTTTCGCAAAGTGTGGTCTTTTGGTACATAGATATGTGAAAATGTTATATATTAATAATATTCCATTATACATTGTATCCAATAGCATTTAAACTCTAGATCTCCCATATTCCAAAGATTGCAACAAATGACTGGAGCGATCCTGACACACCAGATGATCACATAGGCAAGAGGGATAGAAGTCTCCGACACGAGCATTATTATATCAATCTATATGTTAATATATGCAAGGAACATGAATATGGACGAAGCACAGAAATACGGAATGCAAAATCACACTGAAGTCCAAGTAGTCAAAGCCAAAGCAGATAGCACAATGGAACCGAGTAACCATCCAATTGAGAATGGCACAGAAGAATCGTGAGTCAATGTCCATGCCCAACAGGGCAACACCAACAGCATAACCCAAATGTAGTAACCATCCCATTGAGAATGATACAGAAGAATCGTGAGTCAATGTCCATGCCCAACAGGGCAACACCAACAGCATAACCCAAATGTAGCTCTCTCTTGTGAATGGCGCCTGGCGCCCTATCTACTCTAAAGCCTAGCCTACAACTACAGCAATGAAAGCAACCAGACAACTTGACTACCAGCGAGTGACGATGTCAACACCAATGCCGACCTCCACCTCCACCAGGTACGTGTCCTCTTCACCCACACTCTCCCTTGTACCCACACAGCGCCCTTCACCTCCGAAGACCACCTTCACCCCTCACCTCTCCTGCACCCTCATGCGGCCCCTATGGCCGCCAGTGCCTTGCATGCAGGCAGCGCCCTACCACCTAGCGCTGGCCTGCTTCACCCCAGCGCAGCACACATGCACTTGCGCAGCGTGCCCGCAATGCCTGCATTGGCCGAAAGTGCCTGCCCGCTCGCCGTGCTTGCCTATATGCCAGTGCTGCATGTGGGCGGCCTCCCTTCAGCCTGCGACTGGGCCCCAGAGGCTGAAACCAGCCCGATACAGTTGGGCCCCGGGGCAATGCAGTTGCGCCTCTTTCATCCAGGCCTGCGGCCAGATTCAGGTAGTGGGCCRATTTCCCTTTGGCATTTTCGGCCTCTACACCCAGCATGCATTGTCGGCCTCACGTTCAAGTGCCCAGGGCCTAACTAACTCAGAGGCCCTGGGTTTTCAGCTTTTGCTGAAATCCGAGACTCGGTGCACTCCAACCAACTGGCGTGCTGCAACTGTATGGACCCCACTTCGTGAAATGTTGCACAGAGGGCTTTTGTTGATTTGCTGGCCCGCCTTCACTTAGGGCGGGCACGAGGCTTGCTGGGGCCTTAGCCCAGAACATGTACATCATGGCAAGGCCCCTACTTGAGGGCTCAATCCTCACATATAATAATATTTGAATAATATTCCACAACATATAACATAATATTTTAAAATTTTAATAATATTCCATAATATGTATACAACGAATGACACACTCAACAACCATTGACCAAAGTCAGTTCCCAAATATACACAATGGTTCCCAGTGTGAACTGATTGCAATTTAATATTTTTTGTATCCAGCAGGACTCGAACTCACGACCTGTACCATGTAATCAACTAGCAGAGGAGGAATGCATTGAAGTTGAGCTTCCATGCTGCAAGACAGAGGGTGAGGGTCCTCGTCCTCTACACTCCCAAAAGGTAAATTGTCTGCCTTCCAAGCAGGGGATATGAGTTTGGTTCCCTTTATCCACAGTTGCTTTTGAATCTTTTGATTTGATGAAAATAAAAACTACGTTTGTCAAATACATGTGAACTTATACAGTAGTTCTTTGTCCTCATACATACCATTGACCAGCCATTTGATCTGCTTGAATGCATGTCTTCCCATTTCCTTGGCTGCTGTCATAGTTGAAGTACCTGCTCTTGAAAGATAAAAAACAAAAAGATCAACGATGCAATGTTAATCAAAAGTTGTAAGAAATTGTTCGAAGTAATAATAACTTAAAAGTGTCATGGCGGTGAAAAAGAATCAATATTTTCTCGAGTCTTTACTCTCAAAATTACCCTCGAATTCTGTTCGATTTGAGAGTCCGATCTTGGCCGCAGAGTTTCTCTATGCAATTGAAGTTTGAGAGAGAGAGAGAGAGAGAGAGAGAGAGAGAGAGAGAGAGAGAGAGAGAGAGAGAGAGAGAGAGGGATAGAGAGAGAGAGAGAGAGAGAGAGAGAGAGAGAGAGAGAGAGAGAGAGAGAGAGAGAGAGAGAGAGGAGAGGTGGATGGAGATCTCCCCCACTTGACCTTCCCATTTGTTTCTTATGCATGTGGATGATCTGAATGTAATGCAGAGACCCCTTGATTGGATAGTTTACACTGAAAGCATCAGAGAAACATAACCATGCCTGGATCCCCGAAAGCTCACAGTGAACTTCACACATCTAGAAACAACCATTGACCTGCAACTGATCAACTAAGGTCCAAGTTCACACCAGCAGGGATGATACAAAGTGAATATTGAGTACTTGTTTTCATTTTGTAGATGACAAAAAGGAGTGACCTGCACAATGTACAAATAACTTTTTCCTCTCTAGCAATGCCTGGCCTCACCTTCCATTCCACAGCTTCTCCACATAGGCCTCCCGCCCCTGACGCAGAGAAAGAAGACAACAAAGCACCATCATTTACTTTGACTGCGTCCCTTTACTTTGACTTTGTTCCCTTCTTCTTTTGTGTTGGGGTTTGGGAGGGGGGGGGGGAGGAGCGGGGAGCAGTTCCTTATGGTCCTGGCTCTGAAAGAGTCTGAATCCATTCTGGGGAGCGACAGTCCGGTTACTTCTCCCCTGGCAAGTCATAAGGACAACCTTCAGACACCCACACATCCTCCTGTATTCTGTTTTTTTCTTCTTTTACAGGCTTACAGCATCTTTGTTTGTTTGTTTGTTTGTTTTTTTCTGAAAAAACAAAAGACTATGAGAATCCAAGAAGAAGAATTACACCAGTTACACCAATGTTTTCCCCCTCATTTTTCCTCCCCATCCCTCTTCTTTGCTGTACTCCCCGTCCTCTTAATAATCAATTAAATGCAACAACAAATGAATAACTGAACAGGAATCATATTGGAGTGTTCCACCTTACAGCCAGTAACTCAAGAAACCACCTTTCATCCCTAACCTCACTTCTCTCACCTTCATAGCACCTAAGGGTTATGGCGGAACCTCCCTCCTCATCACGGATGTTTGGAAATTTCCAGCAAAAAGATAAGTTATACGTCAATATTTTCGAGGGGCGGATGTCTGGCTTCCCTGCTGATTGTCCACACCGACGCAAAGGTTTTGGGGGGCGAGCTAACTGTCACGTGTGGTTCTGAGGGCAGGCGTTCTGCACTGACCCGCTGACGTGCCGGCGAAGGAAAACGCAAACACTACTATGCCAAAGTCCTCTCCCTTCCCGACAAAGCCACACTCTCGGAAGATGACCAAGACCAACCAGGACCCATGCTGGGGCCTTCTTGATGCAGCACCAACCAAGCAAGTGGAGATGGATGTCAACCACAGACAAGGTGAGTCTCTCTATGTCGGTTCCTCTCACTCTCTCTCTTCCTCACCTCCTACTCCCTTCTTCCCTCCTCCTTCATCTGGCATGGGGCGCTTCACCCTCTGCCACCATAACCAGGACTGCGCCCTTCTACTACTACTCCATAGCCAAGGAGTCTCGCCCTCCAGCTCCACCTTCTCCTCCGTGTGCTCTGCCAACTTCCCCCTCTGGGTGGAACACCATGATGCTCATTTGAAGAATTAACCAAAAGGACCCCTACCGCTCTTGGCTCCGAATGATATACTCTTTTGCTACCAGCGACTCTTGGCCGAATTTCACTGTAGCTCGGCCTCACAGCTTCACTTAGGCTGTGGTACCGCTCCTACCTCTGCCTCTCCAGGTACTAGGCCTACCAGGGGTTCCTGCCCTTTGGCGGGAACATTATTGCAGCCTGCAAGTCTACCTCAGGGCCTGAATCTAGCTTACTCACGGCCTTTTTGATAATCTACTGGGCCGGACCTTTGTTGGGCCTGCCCGAGCTACTGGAAAATCCTTGCCAGGTACTTCCCACTTTCTACTTGGTCCCTGTCCGTCCTAGCCTCTACTGGCAGTCTGTTCAGTCCCAATTTCAGTCTTGCCCCTGTGGTTTCCTTATTCCTAATCTACTCCTCCCAGGACATAGAAAACACAAGGTAAGCACACGGTTAGTGCTCCCGGGACATAGATAACACAAGGTAAGCACACGGTCAGTGCTCTGTGTAGCATTCATCACACATGAACTTAGACATATGCAAACACACATCAAACTCACACAGCAGTGACAGCACGCCAAAATCAAAGCAAATCAGTCGAGCAAACAACAACACTCAGAAAACGGGAGAAATCTCATGCTGAGGTCATTGCAGTTATAAATCATCTCCATAACAACCCTTCTTCCATCCAGACGTGTGTCGTCATCTTCGCTATACACGACTTCACAAAGAAAAGCATGACCGTGCCAGACTGTTTTTCCATCCAGATGTGTGTGTGTGTGTGTGTGTGTGTGTGTGTGTGTGTGTGTGTNTGTGTGTGTGTGTGTGTGTGTGTGTGTGTGTGTGTGTTTGTGTGTGTGTGTGTGTGTGTGTGTGTGTGTGTGTGTGTGTGTGTGTGTGTGTGTTTCCAACATCCCCAAATTCTCTCCTCATTCCAACCACAAATCATCACCAACCATCCATGAAACAAAAAAAGTATAGATAGGCAATACATTGGAAGATCCAAGGTTGCCCACATTTGTGTGGTTGAGGCAACAAGTGCCCACACACCCGTCTCCATGTGTGTGTGTGTGTGTGTGTGTGTGTGTGTGTGTGTGTGTGTGCGTGCGTGCGTGCGTCGTAGTGGGTGTGCATATTGCACGGCTATTCCTTAATTTATGGAAAACAAGCATATGCAAGAGTCGATACAATGCAACATTGTTAGCACCATACATACATAAACGTAACACGAGGTTGTCAAAAGGGTTAGTGGTGAATGAGCGTTAAAAGGCCTGGGGAGCAGAATTAAGTTCAGGCCAGTGTTAGCGATGACTGCATAAAAACAGTCATAGGGTGGTGCACGCCCTGAAGCGCGCTTTTCGCCGCTTAGCACCATAGCAGCTCATCAGAGGGTTTAGTCATTAGTCTCCCATTAGTACAATGTTAAATGCATTCATAGGACAGCACGGACGTTTAGGTGTAAGGAGATTTACCTGTAGCTGGAAGCCTTGAGAGGCTGAAGCATCCGCCACGGTAGCCATGACTTGTGTTTGCCGCTGTCTCCTTAGCGCAGCTACCTTGTATCAGTATTTGTGATAGTAGAGCGAGTGTTAGAGTCAGTTCTCGCTCAGCTATCGTGTGTCCGCCAGTCTGTGCGAGCAGATGCTCAGAAATCAGAGGTTTGAGGCCATGGGGTGCGTGCGTAGAGGCGAAGGCTATGATCTGCTGAGTGGAGCATGGATGACGAGCGCTTGTTGTGCGGCAGTGTTGGAGAAGTGTGTAGTTGCCGTAAAGCAGGGCTATTTTTATGCAGGTTGCAAGGCTGCGGATTATAGTTGTATGGTGTTATTGTGGTGGTGCGAAGTACCGAGAGGGGGTAGGGAGATAATTACGTGTGTAAGGCTTGGTGGGAAGCAGTATTGCTTCGTGTGATGGGTGCTAATAGGTCTTTGTTTTACGTGTAGATGGGTGGGGTTAATGTTTGGGGGTGTGTGCTTCTCCTCTTTTTTTTTTTAAAATGGTGTAGCTGCTTGTAATACATGCTTCGCCCGTGTAGGTTCTGTTTTCTGCAGCTGAAGAAGAGTTCCGTGTGCTACTTGTTTGTCATCATGTAATGTTGTGCAGCGTTTGGCTATGGGTCTTTGTTTTCTTTTGAAAAAGTTCTTCTTTCACTTTTGTCTTTGTGAATTCGGTTTCCTGGAGTAGCCTCGTCGGAGCCGAGATGTGGCGTGTGACTGTTCCTTACTGCTGCATGTATTTTGCTTTTTTATGTATGTGGTTGTGGAATTTTGTCCTGGTGTTTTTAACCGCGTTTTTTTAATTTTTGTTTTTGTAGACGTAGCCGTTCTGTATTTTGTCGTTTGTGCAGTATATTACCCGGGGGTAATTTTTGTTGTATGTGTAAGGTACAGATGTGATTCGCGTGCCGCCAAGGACGTGATGTATGCAAAGAATTGTGTTTGGAGAAGGGTTAGAGATGCTTTGTACTTCTATTGTTATGTGGCATTAGTTTTCTAAGGTACCCATAACTGTACCACGGTATGTATGTAGTTGTGTATTTGTATAGCTTCAACAAGTAGGAATGCTAAAATATAAGGTTGCGTTGGGTATATTTCTTGGAACGAGGTAGTCTTTGTACAAGTCTTGTAGAAAATTATTTTTATTATTGCGTTTTAAATTTTGACTTGATTATTTAGTGTTTATTATTTATTATTTATTATTTATTATTTTTTAATTTTTTTTTTCGTTTTTTATTTTTTATTTTTTAATTTTTATTTATTTATTATTTTCTATTTTTATTTTTTTTTATTTTTTATATAATTATTATTTTTATATTTTTATATTTTATTTTAATTTTATATGCTTTAATTTTTTAAATTTTTAATGTGTTTATTTTATTTTATTTTTATTTTATTTTTATTTTTATTTTTATTTTATTATTATTATAATTATTATTTTTTCTTTTTTGCAGTTTACATTGCTTATTAGAAAAAAAATATTATTATATTTTTTATCTTATGTTTTAACATTTATTTATTTATTTGTTTGCTTTATAAAGAGTTTTTATAAACTATTTAGTTATTGCTTATTTAATTGTTCATTATTTATATGCTTTTCTAATAGATTTATAATTGACAAAAGTAGAAGTTTTTACTTATCTATTAAATAATGACTGTTTTTAATTTCTATTATAGATATATTAAGGCGGGTTTGGTTGAAGGGCTTTTAAGAGTATCTGTGTGTGTGAAGAGCTTTCAAGATTATATGTGTGTGTGTGTGTGTGTGTGTGTGTGTGTGTGTGTGTGTGTGCGTGTGTGCCTGTGTGTGTTTGTGGGTGTGTGTGCGTGTGTGTGTTTGTGGGTGTGCGTGTGTGTGTTTGACTCTTTTCTAAACAATCACCACATTAGGATAGCAACCCCTTTTCCACCCGGATGCATAGATACCACAGTCAGAACTTCTTCTTTTTTTTTTTTTTTTAAACACAAACATCCATCTGCCGCCGGAGCAGCATACTTGCACATATGTATTATACGACGGACCCAACAGAAACCGGGCGCCGCCACGCGGGACCGCTCCCGGCCAGTGGGGAAGGGGGAACCAGTGTGAGTCCGCGACTTCAGCTTTTCCCAACCGGTGTGAGCCCGCGCTAGTGTGGCGGGCCAGTTGGGCGGATCGGGGCGGGGTGGTAGCATGGCGGGCCGGTTGGGTGGACCGCGTGGGACTCCGCAGTGTAGCGTGGCGGGCCGGTTGGGTGGCACGTCGGGAATCGTTAGGCGGGGCGTGGCGGGGCGGTAGTGTGACGCTGTCGACGTCGGGAGTCGT